AGGGACATCCCAAATGTGTAAGGCTATGGAAACCAAAAAATAAAGGAATGGGATAGCTATAATTGGATAAATTCGGCATATGAAAACACCAAAATCAATGATTTTTTTTCAGTGGCTGTGTGACTGTGTCTGAAACATTCATATGCAAATGACTAATCTCTGAAACAAATAGAGGCGGAGACAAACCACTCAAATGTTTGGAAACACTCATTGTGTGTCAGATAGCTACTGATAACACATCCTAACATTGCTTTGTCTTGAGTTTATCTTTGAAACTTATAGGCACACAGATTAAACCTGTGTTGTTGATTTTGGAAAACACTACTGAGGCTGCCTTGCTTCCCTTCAGAAAATCTACATTTTAACCAACTTACATGACATTCTATGTTATATTGACTTTATCATATGAAAGTTTATGGTGCATTTCATCAATTAATAAATAAATGTGAAAATCGTAATTTTCAACACAAATAATAGTCTTAATTCATGCATTGAGTCAAATTCGCTAAAATGGTATGTAGCTATTTCAAAGTGTTTTACAGTATTTTAATTACAATTACAAGATTATTATTATTTTGTTTATTATTATTATTATTATTATTATTATTATTATTATTATGTATTTTACTATCCTACTACTTCATTATTATTATTTGAACTATAATTTACAAGTAGCTTTCACTCTGCTTACTGGAGGGTAGTACTTACCCGAGTCTAGTCCACCGTCTTTTCCACGAAACTCTTCCAACTTTTTCTCCAATTTCTGTTGACGTCTCCTCCTCATAACTGCTTCTGGATTTGATATACTCCGTGTAAAACTAGACTCCGGCAGTTCTGTGTAGAGTTTTTCCGACATACTGGCATTAGGGTCATTTGGTTGGTTTTCTGAATTGTCCCTTGCCTGAAAGTGAATAAACAAATGACAAAAGTGAATAGACCATGTTCCGTTCACTGCGAGAATCACGCGTTATGCGTGAAATCGAACGTAAAAACAGGACAAACAAAGGTCATAGCGTCGTAGTCGCGTCAAACATCGCGTGGGATTCGACAAACGCGAAAGTATTTCGGGGACATTTCCATGCTTAATAATGTGCTGTCCACATTTGATGATAGGCAATTTCGATTAAGTGAGGGTATTCGGAAGCAATATTCCTCTGTCGAAGATCGGACGGTCAATGTAAGCTGCGAAATAAAGAAATTCTAGTTCAAAATCAAATCGTTCGATTTTTGCGGCAGACGTTCGACGCGCGTCTTTCATGCATCTCGCGAGATCTCGCAATTGTTCGGAAAATCACCTATTAGGCAGTAAGACTGAAAGTAAACTGTCCACAGTGCGAACCAAAAAACAAGGGATATGTAGGAATGTTTTATTGTGTTATTTTCTTTGAAAAACAAAAACAAAAACAAGTGACTGTATATGAATGTTAGCAATTTTATGATAACCTGTTAGACTCCCGAGTTCAATATTTTGAGTATTTACAAACAATAATAGCATTCTCTAAGTAAATTGAGTTGATATGTAAATTAGATGAACAGAGGTGTGAATGACCTTCTGTTGGTATGGTAACGGTCCTACCAGTGCGGTGAATTTAAAGTGGCGCACGGTACACATATTGTGGTCGACAAAAATGAAAACGACTGGATGGTAATGATCAATTCTCTGAGTACAATCTCAAAAATATAGATACAGAAATCAAGAAAATGAATGTTAGTTTATTCACTTGCATTTCGTAGAAACATTGATTGATTTTGGCGAAGAACTGGATACAGTTTATTATTTTAACATGCATTCAGGACAGAGACAACACATGTAAAAACAACTTATCAGTATCGAATAAGATGATATTCTCTTAAATCTAATACCACCAATTTTGTGGCCCAGGCTGAATGTACTCTAGTTTATACTGTTGAATGAGCAGTCAGCTGATAGAAAAAAAACAATTCGTATCCACAAGAGGTTAACACGCTATTAACCATACTATCGTGTCCTGATCATCTAAGAGCACTATGATAGCGACATTGTGTTTCTTGTACTGTAAAATACTCTATTTTCGCTGAGGAAGTGATTCTGTGAAAATAAAATCCAGCGAATATACTTTTTTTCCTATATTTTATATTCAATTAACCAAAAATCAGTGAAAATAAATTCCATACAAAAGACCCAAAAAAGTTAATTCCAGCTAAAATAAAGTATTTTACAGTATGAAAGAAAATGTACATTTCAGACACATAGCAAACAAACTGACAAGATCAAGGAAAAGCATGGTTTGAAAAACAATTTGCTTACCCGTTGCCGCGCTTCTTTTCGGTCTTTTTTCCGCTTCTCCTTTTTTTCTTTCTTTGTCAGTTTCCTCTTGAAATTTTGCATCAAATCTTCACTTTCAAAATACCCTGCCTGCAAGAGAGAGAGAGAGAAACAAGATGCTATTAATGTACAGAACTTAATCAAGATTACAGGATTGTAGTTTTTGAACATCACCTGGTTACAAACATATACAATGAAACAATAAAATAGTTTTTTCTGATTGGAATTTATAAATTGGAATGATGAAAAAGTGAAAACAAAATCCAGTGAATATACCCTTTTTCCTCCATTTCATTTTCACTGAATCATTCCCTCAGTGAAAGTAGCGAAAATAAATTCCAATCGGGAAAAAACTATTTTACAGTTCAAAGCAAAACTATTTTACAGTTCTTCAGGAGAAGTGATCTACATAGGTTTCAAATCATTGATATAGGATGAAAAGATTATCAGTAATGAATCACAGAGCAGGGTAATCTCTTGAGAAACATAATTATGGGTAAATTTTAGACAATCACAGTCTGTGGTAAAAACTTGATTCTTACTGGTGTGACTTCATCTTCTCTTTTTAATAAAAATCTGCCTTCTCTGTCATCTTTATTCCAATTTAACTGTACAAATAATGGTCTCTCATCTGATGGCAGTTTCCGTTCCTCTGTTGTATAACAAATTAAATGATATGTCAGCTCAGTAGTATACATGATGGCACAAAGTATACAATATTATTATACATCTGACACAGCAACGGCATAAGTTACAGCGTGCTGTAATTTTGCGGTATTGCACCCTACCATATTAGTAAATGAGAGTTCCAAATATAGAACGATTACGTGTTCTCTAATAATAAAAACAAACATGGCGGCCTCAAGGGTTTGACCAGATCCCACACAAATAATTCGGTGAAAATTTTCTAAACTTTTTGGGATTTCAGCATTCCCATGATGTATCATTTGGAGGAAAAGATGTATGATAATAAGGTTATTACGAGGATGCCGCAAAGTATGCACTCGGACAGTACGCAGTTGCATCGACCTCCGCTGCACGTCGGTCCATACTCCCGCTGTACCGTCTTCGTACATACTTTGCACTATCCTCGTTGTGCTTCACTAACAACAAACCCAGAAGGAGCAAAAACTGCTTTCAAAACAATTTTTTATATAACTTTTGAATACCAACAATTCCCAAATTATAGTAGTGTGACATACCTCCATTGGCATGTACTTCGTACATTGCAAATGTTGATGCTGTTAACATGCGCATATCGGGACGAAACTTCTCTACAAGTATGTCGATAACATCGCTTGTTGTAGCTGTACTGCTTACGCGGATACATTTTGTCGCTACTTTAGATCCGGTGTCTTGAAAGAAATAACGCATTACACCATGAAATTCAAGATCCTGAAAAGTCAAGAAGAAATACATTTAGATATCGACACAACTTACGGAAATAATAGGTGTACTGGTCTGTATGATTGAGTGAAAAGTCAGTCGTTTTTGGACTCAAAGTTATTTTTTCAGTTGGAAACACAAGGGCAATAAAGACTTATTATTTGGTAGACTAACCTTTTATTTACAGGTTCACTTTTAAATTTCTGAACAGTGAATTATTACCGTAAAATCTGCATTATAAGCCACATCAATAATAAAAGGTCCCATTCATTCTTTTTGAACAAATGGGAACCAAAAATTTACCATGTGTAGATGCTCTAAAAAAAGCCACATTCCCTCTGTTGTATTGTATCATTTTTAATAGAAGTCACAGCTTCAGTACATGGTTTTATTATGACCTGAACAGCTAAATTAACCCCCAGTAAATTTCAAATAAACAGCTAATATTTTTATTAATAGTAATACATGAATAAACCAAAGTCGTACGAGTATTACAAACAACGTGTACTTGTATCTGAACTAAACACCTCTGTTTTCTTATGGTTTACACAGAGCCCAACCGTACTTCACTTTGCGTCATCATTCCACTTGTCTATGACCTAAATAGAATTATTACTTTATTATTTTAATTTTTATGTATTGCCACAGCGTCAGCTGTTTTTATTGTTTGTTGGTCTGTTCATTTGTTTGTTTATGTATTGTTTATTAGAAGGCACAGATTCGACTAGTTTGGAGAAACTATTTCTGTGTCCCACACTAGATTTTTCTTATGAAACTTTTATTATTATTTTGTTTATTACTTTTTTACTTTGTTACGACATTTTGTATTTTACTATTAATGTGAATAAATCAAACTATAGAGGGCGCAGTAACAAGTCAATAATCATGGCTAACTTTATATCCTCGGGGGCGGACATTCGGGCATTTTCTACCGCCTGGCAACCCGCGGCGGTGAAAACAAAGGCCCAAAACTCGCAGAAAACGGTACTTTGGGGTGATTGTTGCGACTCCTCTGAACAGTGCAACAAGATTAGCCCTACGTGTGTAACATATATAAATTTGATTGTTATGGATTACTTCAAAGTTGAGTTTGTATTGTTTTCTCGAATTATCACCGGCTCGACCGGCGTTCCACAGCAGCGCGCACAGAGCCCATAGAAATGCGTGGTACAGTGGTGCGCGTCTTAGCAACGTGGAACGTCTGTGACGTAGCTCCGCCCCCGAGGATACAGGTAGTAAGAATTAATTTGTTTCTCAGATTTCTGGAAAAAAAGAAAAGAAAATAACATATCCCAATTTCAGAACTATTTTTCCCATGAGGTGTCCCGCTAAACAATAATGAATGCTGAATGTTGGCATGTTAATTTATAAAAATTTGTTACATGCAATTTCTATAATGATAAATCACTATTACAGTCAGTATTCACTGTCAGACAGACATGACATGGTCATGATTTGCCATAAATTTTGACCATAGCGGCGAGCTGTCAGGAATATTGGACTGGACGAAATAAGCTGTTGTCACAATGCTTTTTATTTGAGAACGTTAAAATGTGTGTGTGAACAGAATACGCAGTTGTGTCTTAAAAGGGGTGGAGCAGATCCTAAACGTCGACACGCAGGCTCTTGCACAACGCAATGAGCCGTGTGAACACAATACGACAGCCAAACGCCCTCTATCGATGACTTATTTATGCTTGTCATTACAATGTCGAACTGGTCAGACGAAGAAACAAGATTACTGATATCTGTATGGAGAGAATTGAATATTCAAAGAATGATGGACAGAACGTCTAGAGATGCTAGAGTATATGCTGTGATTGCAGAAAAAGCAGCTGAAAAGCAGTTGGACAGGACGTCATTACAATGTCAACGGAAGATCAAAACTTGACGTATAAAGTACAGAGAAGCGACTGAGCACAACAACAGAAGCGATAGAGATTCGAAAACTATGCCATTTTGGGATGACTACACAAAATATTAGGTGGAAGGACAGCATTCAATCCTCAAACACATTGTTTTTACTAAGTAAGAACGTGAGCAGATAATTCAGCAGATTAACTAATATTTGCACAACAAAAAAAACAGTGTCAACACCGGCGTTTTTTAGCCGTCCGAGAACGTAGCTATTGAGTTATAAATAATGTTTAAAGAAACGGGATTAACCATTGAATACTCTGGGAGAGGCGACTGTGGGAAAAATTACATGCAAATTAATATTTTTCTTTCTTAGTTTTTAGCTAGATTTGTTGCTAGATTTGATGTACAGTTATTTTTTTTTTTTAATCTCACCCTCAATAAATTTCTAATGGTCGATTCATAAGTTGATCTGATGGGGGTCATTGGTTCTGCTCAAGGACACATGGGATTATTATTATTATTAACAACCTTGCCTCAGACAACTGATCTTTAGTTTTATTTGTTTTTAATTAGTATTTGTGACATGGCTCATATACCACAATTAATAGAACATATGGGTGGAGACTGACAGCTAATGTAATGAATGTGGAATATATGGATTTACAGAGAAGATATAAAATTACATCAGTTCAAAAGTTGACGAGAATTCAGCACAGCAGGGAACTACTAGTCTTACACATGTACAGTGTTACAGATAGTCCATAGATATCCACTATAAAGATTTGTTAGCCAGATTGCTGGATGAACTGGTCTGTAGCAACAAATGTCAAAACAAAATAAAGATGCACAACCCTAAAATCATTTATGAAATAACCAATCATATTTAACAATTATTTTTCCTTGCTGAGCCTACATTTGTATGTTTCTCTACCTATTTTTTTTGGCAAAATATTTAGTCAAAAACGGTTTTCACTTTTAATGTTAAAAATCATTAAAAAAAATTTTCATTCAGAATACGTTTTGTGGATAAAAGTTATGACAAACTGTCTGTTATGAGAAAACAAACTAACAATAACCCAATTGATATCATGGAATTGTAGTGGGATGACTTCACTTAGTCCCATATAAGAATTATTCCCCATGAAAACTTGTATATAACGTTTTTAAAAGCTTCTAAATAGAATGAATGATTGTGTCAAAAATTTCAAAGTCAACTTCACTTGTTAATATTAGCAGGTTCATTGCTAGTTGACAGTACCGGTAATTACGAATCACAGAATTGTTTGGCCTGAGTTTTGTACATGAGAAAGCACTGTAACATAGCACATTGGAATAATAAAAGGAAATCTCCTTTTTTAAAAAGCATCATGATTTCTAAATCATACAATTTATTCGTTTCCATGGTTCCCGGAAATCTGATGAGCTAGTGAACATTTATGCTGTAAAATCACCCCCACCCTATGCAAACAAAATCACCCCCCCACCCTATGCAAACAAAATCTTGCAAGAAACTTGTCTATTACATTCAGTGCATCTGTAAAGTTCAAGCCTTTAATTTGACACAAATTCCGAGTTAAAAATAAACAATCCTGAAATGACAGAGATAGAAATAAATCTCACCAAATTAGAAACCGTGCGGAAGTTGTTAATAGGAGCAGTCTCAAATGAACGTGTTTGGTGGAAATAAAAAGCCACTTTGTAAAACCAATCTGATGCCTACAGCAGTATTATTAGATATCGTATCAAAAACAGTCATATTCCAGCAACTACTTACGAGAGAAGACGATGTGTACAAGATCTGCAATGTATTTATAGTCGATAAAAATAGCGTAACATTTTTATGAGTAATGACTGAAATTGCATAGAAATAAACTATATGTACCGGGGTATGATGGATTGGGCTCAAAAAAATTGAATACTGATTACCAGCGGTGTTACTTTAATTTCCAAACCTCTTTTACCAGCTGTTACAAGAACACTATTACGAATTCTGAATACTGTGGAATACTTTATTTCTGCTGGAATTAATTTTCGCTGAAAACGCTTTTTGGGCGTTGTGTATGGAATTTATTTTCACTGATTTTTGATGAGTTTAATGTGAAATATAGGAAAAAAAAATATATTCGCTGAATTTTATTTTTACGGAATCATTCCTTCAGCGAAAATAAATTCCAAGCGAAAATAAAGTATTCTACAGTAACTGTCAAAATAACAGACATTAATTAAAATCAACTACAAATAAAAGAGCACAGAAATAAAACAAATACCCAGCACATGTATTGCATAAATTTATGCTAATCACATGAAACTAAATATTTCATGTAAAGAAAATTAATATTTATACAACAGTGGTATTCCATGCATGTCCACAGGAAATACAGACAGTGATAGTTACCATGGCAACACCATCGTTGAGAAAAAATGGAATAATGAAAACAGTTGTCAAAATTAAAATCATTGTCATGAATTGTTAATTTGTCAATTCTAATTATTTTTATTCAGCCATAACTCCTATATCGTATGACATCGAATAAGGCCAAATAAGAATTGAAGTTAGGCTCTTA